CAAATCTAAATTCATTCTAAAATTTGATTGTATTTCCGAAAATTTTCGCTTTCATTCAATAAAATTTAAAAAAAAAAAATAAAAAATTATGGCGTTTGACTTTGTTGCAGTTTTTTTTATCTCACCCTGTATATACTTTACTGCACAGAAAGAGAAACGATAATCCAACTTTGCAAATCCTAATATTTACATTTTACCATATTTGTATTAACCCAATGTCTGGTGTGAAAATTGAATATATCGGTCCACTCCTTCTGGTACCTCTCCCACAAAGGGTCAAAATTTTGAATATACATGATTTTGAATATACATGATCCGATTCCATTCAGACCTGCTACTTCTTAATATTTCCAACAACACAAAATTTGGTATAAAGATGGTAGAGATCGGTCCATTGCTTCTGGCATTTCCCCCACAACGGGTCAAACTTTGAATAATTATATATCTCATAAAAAAATGAAAAAAGCATCCGACTCGCTTAAAATGCCACACATCTCAATATTTCTATTAATACACGATTTAATGTGAAGATGAGATATATCGATCTACTCCTTTTAGTGCTTCTCCCAAAAAGGGTCAACATTTTTAATATCCAAGAAGCTACGAAAACGCGAAAATAACATCCGATTCCATTCAGACTTGGCACATCTCAATATTTCCATCAACACAAGATCTGTTATAAAGATGGTAGAAATTGTACCATTTCTACTGGTATCTCCCCCACATAGGATTCAAGATTTTTGAAAAACAAAACGTTCAAAGAAAGCGAAATAAGCCTTCAACACTCTTCAAATTTCACACATGCCATTATTTTTTCTAACACAAGATCTGCTGTGAAAATGGAAATCGGGGCACTCCTTCTAGTACTCACCCCACAAAGGTTTCAAAATTAAAAAAAAAAACAAACATTTCCTTTAAATTTTGTCCGTTTCAATAATTTTATCTATATTAGATAAAGTGGAATATTTCGGTCCTCTATATCTGGTACCTCAAGCATATTTCCAAATTTTTCAAAATTTCAACATATCTCATATAAAGTATATAAATTAGACGATATAGTCCATATATGGCACGTTTTAATATTTATATCAGACTTAGATAATATTGACCTCTCCCATAAAGGGTCAACAGTGTGAATCATAACTTAAGGCTGGGAGTACATATCTGTCGGCAACACCGACTGATACTATTTGACTTGTTTTACATGTCTTTTAAAAGACCTTTATTAAAAATGGTCTAATACTTAAAAAAATAAATATACATTTATGTCACTAGTTTACCGGGTCATATACCTCAGATTAAAATTTTTCTTGACACATGCCTAAATGCTAAAATGATCATAAAATAATGTTGATTTAAAATTGTCCGATTAAATACCATTCTTCTTGTCTTAAAAATAAAAAAAACAGGGTATTTACCAGTCTCATGCTTGTTAGTCATGCATACCTACACATGTATACACATACATATATTTACATTTACGTCAGACATAACTTCTCCAATGGCTGCTGTTATGTAGATTTATGTCAACAAAGCCCAGAATCTGTTCTATAAAACTGAAATAAAAAAATATTGAATGCAATGGAAGGGGTTAGACCTGAAGAGAACAGAGCTAGAACAACAATACCAACAACAAGCAGTCAGTTTATACATAAATATTTTTCCTCCGAAACACCTTGACAAAGTCTAGCAACGTCCGTATCCGTTTCAATTAGACAATTCAATTTCAATTGGATTTGTTAACGGCGCCGAGTACCTGTGACAGCAAATGGCAATAATCGTGGCAATCGTGCTGTTACGCATGCGCGTTGTTTTTTTTTTTTTTTTGTCTTACAAAAAGGTCATAACAAATTATGAAACTAAAACATTAAAATGAACAAGAACAGCAACAACAACAACAACAAAAACAGTACTCGTAAATATACACACTGTAATTTTAAAACAAATTAAACATTTAAGAGAATAGATAATTTTTAAGGCAATCTGGTTGGAGGGGGGTTATTTTTGTTTAGCATAAATCGTTGTTTGTTTTGATCCTTAGTTTTGATGTTTTGTTTTTTTTTTCAATTTTTTATTTTGACATAAACATATTTATAATTATCGCCGCTAATTGACCCACTAAATGTTGTTTTAGTATCCGGAAATAACCAATTACGTAGATTTAAGTAATGAAATTTAAAATTTATATTTTATGTGACATGTTTGCATACAAAAAAGGGAAGGTAATTTTCAATTACGCAAAAGAATTTTAATAAGTGGACCATAAAAAAATTCCATGTTTTCGAAACTCTATAATAGCTATTTCTCCTTCCTTCTTAGCTATTTCTCCTTCCTTCTTAGCTATTTCTCCTTCCTTCTTACCTTACCTTTATTTTAGTATGATGTGGATAAAAAACCAGTAAGGAAAGCTCGAAAGTCGGGCGGGGCCGACTATATGATACCCTACACCACTATACATATTTAGTACAGCTCTCGTAAAATAAAGGTTTATATAGGGTATTTCTGAGCTCTATGAGATATCTGGTACAAAATATGATTATGGTAGAGTGCATATTCCGAAAGTTGGAGATTTAAACACTAAATCGGATGTTACATATATATGGGAGCAAATTTGAAATTCTTGCTCCTATGCTAAATTCGGTTGAAGTGCGAAAATCTATTTGGACTAATATTAGCCAATTGGTGCACAAAACCCTAAAAGCGGATGAAGATATATATGGGAGCTATATCCAAATCTGAACCGATCTTAATAAAATTTGAGTCATGTATTGCTAGGCTGAATCTAATATCTGATACCAAATATCATTTTTATGGGATGTATATTGCGAATGGGAGGGACTTAAACACCAAAATCGGATGAAAAATATATATGGGAGCTATAGCTATATCTGAAGCGATTTTCACCCCATTTTTTAAGTATTAACTTCTTGAATGAATTCGTTTGGAAGTGCAACATTTCACTCAATTTGGGCTGAAATTAGCCATTTGGTGCACAAGAAACCTAAAATCGGATGAAGATATATATGGGAGCTATATCCAAATCTGAACCGATCTTGATAAAATTTGATCTATGAATTGCTAGGCTGTATCTGATATCTGGAGCTAAATATCAGTTTGGTGGAGTGCATATAACGAATGTTAGGGACTTAAACACCAAAATCGGATGAAACATATATATGGGAGTTATAGCTATATCTGAACAGATTTTCACCGAATTTGAAGCATATGCTTGTAGGCTGAATTCGGTCGGATGCAGCAAAATTCACACCATTTGGACTGATATTAGCCATTTGGTGCACAAGAAACTTCTGATATACAGGGTGAGATGAAAAAAACTGCAACCAATTTCAGACTGCCGTTATTTCCAAGCCACTCGTCCGACATTATATTTTTTTACAAGCGTACAAAAGCATTTTGGTGAGAATTTTGCAGAAAAAAGTTATTCGTGATGGAATTCAAGCTTCAAGCGTGATAGTGTGATTTCTTTATATTTGGCTGGAAAACCACAAGTGGCTATCGTTACAGCACTCCAGCATTTAAATGTAAATAAATTTTTTGTCTCTTACCATCGCTCGTTCCCGTGATACTGGTAGCGTAGCCCGACGTCGAGAAAGTGGATGGAGAAATTGAAATTCCAAAAAAGTGCAAGAACTTACACCGCAACAGGAAGAAAATAGACTCAAAAGAGCTAAAGAGTTGCTTCGCTTGGCCGAAAGTGGTGAACTGCCGACTTTGATTTTTCCGTCTCCGATGAGAAAACATTCGCCGTCCAGCAGTTTGTAAACAAACAAAATGATCGTGTTTACTAGCCAAAGAGGTCAGCTAAAAGAAGGCAACTTTGGTTGGCCACCAGAACTCAAGCGCCGGCCATGGTGATGGTGTGGGCTGCCATAACAGCCGATTGTCGGCCACCGCTCGCATTAATCGAGTATGCCACACTCGATTAATGCGACAGAATAATAGGTGACAGAATAAATGCCGAATATTATCGCGAAAATATTCTGGAAGGTGTATTAAAGCCTCGAGCACACAAACATTTTGGCCGAAGACCTTGGACATTCCAACGGGTCTCAGCACCATCGCACTCAGCACGCGCCACCCAAGAAAGGCTACAAAATGAGGTTCCTTTCTTCATTTCTAGCGCACAATGGCCATCAAAATCTCCGGATACCAATCCGTTAGACTATTGTGTCTGGAGTATTTTGGAAAACAAGGTTGGCACTAAAAAATACCAAAGTGTCGATCAACTCAAGCAAGCGCTCCGCCGAGAATGGACCAAAATAACGCAGCAGCGTGTGACGGTTTCATTGGCCGTTTGAAGGCAATAATTCGTGCCAAAGGTGACCAATTCGAACAAATCTAAACTTATTCTAAAATTTGATGCTATTTCCGAAAATTTGTTGCTTTCATTCCATAAAAATTAAAAAAAAAATAAATAAATAAAAATTATGGCGTTTGACTTTGCTGCAGTTTTCTTTTTATCTCACCCTGTATTTAAAAAAAAAAAATCTTAATTTTTCTTCTCAGATTAGAAGTTCTAAGATTTTATAAATTCTAAGATTTTTTGTTGGGAGATCCTTAAAATAAATATTTTAGATTTTTTTCATGGAATAATTCTTTTAAAAATCAAATTTTCGGATAGCAGATCATAAAAAACTAAGATTTTTAGTCAGGGGTTTTTTTAAGTATTTAAATTTTATCTTCGAAATATAAGTTATGGGATTTTTGGTTGAGAGATCCTTGGGAGGTTCTTAAAAAATATTATTAAAAAACCACTAATTTTTGTTGGAAAATCGTTGAAAAAAGTTTCTTAAATATCCACGGAAGACCCTGTAAAAAACTTATAAAGAAAATCCAAGATTATTGGTTCGAGTGTCCTTGAAAAATAATTCTAAAAATTTTACAATTCTTGGTGAGATTGACCCTGAAATAATTTTTTTTAAGAATCCACGACTTCCTTTTTAATCTTTACAAAATGTCTTCTTTTATTATTTTTTTTTCTAAATTCCATTTTTGTTACGAGTTCCATTTGCCGATCGTTGACCCTTTTTCGATTCAACATGAGCGTTGAGCATAATTTTTATGAGATAATCATTTTTCGTGTACATATTAAAGGCCGTTTCGAATTTAATATTTGGCAAATAGACTGGCATCATTTCTTCGTCCAAATAGAAGTTTATCAGAGAAAATTCGGTGTCCTTAAAATGAAAATAAAAAAATATATAAAAATTTTAAAACAAACTCCCAAAATTCCCTTACCTTTGTGAAAGGACATTTCCGTGGCAGTTGCGGAACTTTCTCTCTTATTTTTTTAATTACCGCCTCCGTTATGGTATTCTGTTTGGCATATTGATCCGCTATGATGTCACATCCATTAACGGTGACATTATAGATTTTCCATATCTCCCCATTCGCCTTGACAGTGGTCACCCAATGGATGATACGCATGCTATTGATAATGCGTCGAAAAAATATACTGACATTGACGGCATTATGCTGGTCGTAGGGTATCAATTTGAAATTCATTGATTTAACAAATCGGGGATTAAACTCATAATTGAGACTATCGAAATCCATTATGAAGGGACGCTGTACACGAGAAAAACATTTTACGAAATTTAAAGTTGATTTTTTTTTTCAAAGTACATACCGCGGTAGATATAAAATTCATTGCGAATAATTCAAGAATTGAAATTATTAAAATTTTATTCCGAAAACAGGTCATTTTGTGGCGGCACTAAAGAAAGAATGGAATTCAGCTAAGTAACCTGAATATTTATTTCAATAAAATATTTGATTGAATAACTATTTTGGATGACTCCGCCCAGAATCATTTAGTGTTTACCAATTATACGGTCTGTGTATGCCAAACATTAGTAGCATATTTATTGAGTCTTTTTCATAAATTCTAAGGGAAAATCGAAAGGGTAACACGTGTCAAACATAATGGCTTTATTACACACATATGTATGTCTTTGACATAAATACCTTATAGCTAAAAATAAATATTTTTTATCGTCAAAAAATTTGATAATCGGCCGATTTCGCTTCTGTACATGAATATCCTCCGAGTACACTTGAAAAATACTGATCTTTTTAATGGGTTTTATAGGTTAAATTTCTAGTAAGCCTAAAAGTCCTGATTTAGAAGTCGTTTATACCTAGACAACATTTAGATCTCCTAATGGTACTTTAAGGATTTTCCGAAAAAAAACTAATCGAAAGAAATAACTGGTAAATTTTTGTAAGATATTTTTTTGGATCATTTGGATTTAAGAAAAATTGTTCCGATCGAAATTATTAGTTTTTAAGAAGAGTTTTAAGATTTCCTAACAAAAGTTTTGAAGTTGAATATTGAATATGAATTTCGTAAAGTAAAATATAAAGTGCTTGATCTTTTAAGGACCTCCAATCCGTGATTTCCAGGACAAAATTGTTTATTTTTTGACAATTATCATGTATTCTTTAAGAAATTTTTCCATGAACATTCTTGTGATTTTTTTCAATATAATTCAGTGAAAGATCTTGATATTTAAAAACAAGTAAAAAAAAAATATTAAGTTCGGCCGGGCCAAACTTTTAATACCCTCCACCTTAGGCTAAAGGAATCATTAGAAGAAATGTGGCAAAAACCATTAAAATGCCGAATATCGGGAGGTACCATTATATGGGGGCTATACCAAATCGTGGACCTACACATGCAATGTTTCACCACCGGAGCTGGAACCCATTATGACCTACAAATACCAATTTTCAGATAAATCCATGAAAACATGTGGCAAAAATCATAAAATTAACGAATATCGGGAGGTACCGTTATATGGGGGAGGCTATACCAAAACATGGACCTATAATTACAGTGGCTCGCCACACGAACTGGGACCCATTATGATCTACAACTACAAATTTTCAGAGAAATTCTTGAAAAAATGTATTAAAAAATCATCAAAATACCGAATATTGGGAGGTACCGTTATATGGGGACTATATCAAAACGTGGACGTAGACATACAATGTTTCGCCACACGAACTAGGACCCATTGTGACACACAAATACCAATTTTTTCATAAATCAGTGAAAAAATGCGGCAAAGACCATCAAAATACCGAATATCGGGAGGTACCGTTATATGGGGGGCTATACCAGATCATGGACTTACACATGCAATGTTTCGCCACCGGACCTGGAACCCATTATGACCAACAAATACCAATTTTTAGACAAATCCGTGAAAAAATGTGTCAAAAAAAACACTAAAATACTGAATATCGGAAGGTACCGTTATATGGGGACTATACCAGAACGTGGACCGATATACACTAAAAAAAAAAAAAAACAAGTAAAAAAGCTGTAAGTTCGGCCGTGCCGAACTTTTAATACCCTCCACCATTTGATACAAAAAAATAAATAAAATCCGTTTAAAATTCTGTTAAAATCTTAAAAATACCGAATGCCTATACGACGACGTAGACGACGACATAAGCAACTTTTGTCGTAAGTTATTGCAATATTTAAATGCGGAACTTGAAGAAAAATCTGTTTATAATGTAGCTAAAATCATCAAAATATCGAATATAGGGGGTACCGTTATATGGGGGCTATACGAAGGCATGGACCTGCACAGACAATTTTCTGGCATGGGCTGAAGTATCCATTACGAACTTCAGCCCATGCCAGAAAATTGTCTGTGCAGGTCCATGCCTTCGTAATGTCGCTAAAATCATCAAAATACCGAATATCGGGGGGTACCGTTATATGGGGGCTATATGAAGACGTGGCCCTGTACAGATAATTTTCTGTCTTAGGTTGTAGTATCCATTACGAACTTAAAATGCCAAATTGAAAACAATTCCGGTGAATAATGTCGCTAAAATCATCAAAATACCGAATATCGGGAGGTACTGTTATATGGGGGCTATATGATAACTTGGACCTACATGGTCCATTTACGAACTTAACCTGCCTACTGGCAAAATATGCATGTGTGCAAAATTTTAGTCTTCTATCTCAATTTGTTCGAAAGATAGCGTGATTACAACAGACAGACGGACAGACAGACAGACAGGCGGATAGACAGACAGACAGACGGACATGGCTAAATCGTCTTTGTTGGGTCTGAGATGAGTATTTCGAGGAGTTACAAACGGAATGACAAAATTAATATATCCTCCATAGTATGGTGGAGGGTATAATAAGAACATTTCAACATCTTATAAATATTGGATTTTTATACCCTACAACACTATGTGTTGGGGGTATTATAAGTTTGATTGGGCCAGAATTTATGTAACACCTCGAAATATTGGTTTCCCATATAGGAAAGTATATATGGATCTTCCTAGCTCGCCGAGCTGAGTCGATCTAGCTATGTATGTCCGTCCGTCCGTCTGTCCGTCTGTCCGTCTGTCCGTCTGTCCATGTTAATTTGTAATCACTCTACAGGTCGCAATTATGGCCCGATCTTCACGAAATTTAGAACGGAGGTGGGGCTAGGGTCAGAATAGAACCCTTTATACCCTACAACACTATGTGTTGGGGGTATTATAAGTTTGATTGGGCCAGAATTTATGTAACACCTCGAAATATTGGTTTCCCATATAGGAAAGTATATATGGATCTTCCTAGCTCGCCGAGCTGAGTCGATCTAGCTATGTATGTCCGTCCGTCCGTCTGTCCGTCTGTCCGTCTGTCCGTCTGTCCATGTTAATTTGTAATCACTCTACAGGTCGCAATTATGGCCCGATCTTCACGAAATTTAGAACGGAGGTGGGGCTAGGGTCAGAATAGAACCCTATTTCTTTTGGAGATGATCGCCAAATGTTTAGGGGTTGAAATGGACCAAATACTGAAAAAATGTCGGATTTTGCAGTAGCTATACAGGTCGCAATTATAGACCAATCGACGCGGAATTTCGCATGTAGCTAGAGTTTAGGGTGGGGAAGAAGCCTACCAATTTGGGTGGCTAAAATAGACCATATCTTTTTTGTTGAAAAAATTCAAAATTTTTCATTAAACCGCGAATATTTTAAACCCCGGCGAAATCACAAAGCCATGACAAGTTTACTTCTGATCTTTAGATTGATGTTAAGATCAAACAAATCGGATATATAGCAAAATATGTGCGATATATATGTCTATCAAAGAAGATATGCTTGAAAGATGTCATATATGTCGAGAACGGCTGAACTGATTTCAACAGTTCTCATTTATTCAGAATGGCCTCTTGGTAGGAAGAAAAAAACGTCTAAAAATCGGATAAAAATATCTCTCTAAAGATGAAAATATTTAACATTTTCTCATATTTTTTCAATTTTGTCATATTTTTGGCATATTTCCATTTTGAATTAAACATTTGGTAATATTTCTACAGCTAAGAAAACTAAGTAGTTAGGATATCAGGATATCATATACAGATCGCATTTATGGCCCGATCTTTATGAAATTTTGCATGGGTATAAGATGAGGGTCAGAATAGAAGCCTACTCTTTTAGGAGATGATCGCCATATATTTAGGGGTTGAAATGGACCAAAAAACTGCAAAACTGTCGGCAGGTCGTAATTATCGCCCGATCCTCACGCTCATTTGAATTGGGGGTTACCGCACATTGCAAAAGCCAAGCAGTTTCGGATGGTTATCCAAGAATATTCAATGTGTGAAATAGTTTACCAACTTTTGTAGACAAAATTCGAAAATGTCCATTCCAGTGACTTTTTGGAGAATTCACAAATACAAGAAAGACGCACTTCTGACTATTTCGTTAAGGCTGATTTCGTTGAAGAATATAGTCAAATGTCTGTATCTCATATAGATGCGTTTCAGTCAAAAACCAATAATAAATGTTAATCTTTTGCCACTTCTGAGAGATTATAGGTCTTTGGGAAATATTGGTTCCAGATCAAGGAAGACCATTTACGTGCAACATCTACCAATAAATTGGAAATGAGCAAATTATTTTAAGTTGCTATTATTCGAAAATTAGAGAACGAAACCTGATGGTTTTCTTTTATTATTTGTTACAATATCTTGTGGAATTCTTTCGAGTATCTCGCCTATATAAACTGTATCGTTGATTATAGTGTTGTAGGGTATTCAACGGTCGGCCCCGCTCGACTGTAGCCTTTGCTTACTTGTTTTTTTTTTGGTTTGGAGATTTTTTGTCAAAAAAATCATAGATTTCCTGGCATGCTTACATTTGTATTTGTTTTGCCACCAGTTCCTCAAACTATTCGCTGCGTATTTAGTTTGAAAACGAAAAACTCAAAATTAATTGTTTTTCACACCTCCCCTATAAGTTGCGACAGGTGTTACTCCCCAAATCAGGCATTTAAACCAAATTTAGAAAATATTTCAACATTTAGGCTATAATGTTTCAATTCTTAATTCGTTTAGAACAAAACGAAAAACATAACACTTGCTGTTGTTGTTATTGCTACTTTTGTTCTCTCCACACATTCCGCTACGATTTATCCGATCGATTGCAATTAAATTTACATTACAACTCAACACGCCGTTTGCTTTTTTTTGTTATAAAACTGCCCCGGCGATAAATGAATTGAAACAAAAGCAAATTCAAATTCAAAATAGAATAGAAAACGTGCTGGGGTAAATGAAGATAAATTAGTCGGATTGTATTAACTTGTATTCAAATACGATTGTTTCTCCCAAGTTAACAGCCTCTAGACGGCATTCAAAGGCACGTCTCAGCTCGAGTCAAAGAAACAATACTTGGATCATGTAATGGCCGGCCAATAGTTCAAATCGTTTGTTCAGTATTCAAATTATTGATGAGTTGAAACACTTGTTGTTGTTGTTGCTGTTGATCTCGTTGAATATTTATTTAGACTTCCTCCAATAATTGTTGTTGTTGTTATTTGCATTACCTTACACCTGATGCTACTGTCAATCTGCCACCATTCTCCGGCTTGGATGCATCTGTCCATCTGGGGCTGACGCCAAGTGAATGCGTGTTACCGATAGCAGAACAAAAACTAAATCTCCTCGTTGTTGTTGTTGTTTTTGTGTTTTGCTTTGCTAACAACAACTTCTCTTCTACAAGGATAACAACAATGTTGTTGTTATGTTTTTGTTGTTGTAGTTGTTTTTTGTTCAGACACTATTTTTAGTTTATTAGCTCACTTATGTAGATCAATGGCATTAATGACTGTCGTTTGATCTTGCCACTGAGGCGATATTTTAAAATTGGATATGCGATATAGTACGTCAAAGGGGAGAGTATGTAATTCAAATGTATGTCGTATGTAATGTCGAAAATATATTGTACCGACATTTTGTCGACCATTATATGATTGGGTCATTTTAATTTTTTTCAATAAAATGTTGCATGAAAGTCTCGAACGGTGTACAGGGTTGGAATAAGACGGGATTTTTGATTTTTTAGGAAATGTTATTGATTAGGAGCTAGCGCTTTGGCATTTGCAAGCTTGAGATGTGGCGAGTTTTTCTGAACTTCATAATTTTTGGTGCAAGTAGTGAAAAGTTCAAAATTCAACAACATTTTTACCGAGCGATCGGTACAAAAAGTACTAAATTTGCAAAACTGATAGGAGTTGGAATTTAGAAATTTTGCTAGAGGGTAATATTCGATCTTTTAACGAAAGAAATGTAATAAAAACTACCATATGGTATCTCATTGTCATTAATCTATCGGAGTCTTAAATACGTAGCGATTTTCGAACTTTCGTACTTCAAGGAAACGAAGGGTACCAAAAAGTACAGAACTCCACTGATTGCTCGTTATTGACACAATTTTGAAATTTTGCAAATTTTGTTGATATTGCGGGATTTTTGAAAAATCGTACTTTTAGGGTACAAAAAGGACTAAAATGTACTATTGTTGAGACGACTTATAATTTTGCATTTTTGCGAAAGACCCGATCATATTCGAAACATCGTACTTAAAAAACGAAAGGTACAAAAAGTACAAAACTCAAAATTTTTATAATTTTGAATTTTTGAAGGCAAATTTTTTGTAAAAGTTTGAAAAGTGGTGGAATTTTTGTGAATAAGTGACGAGAATAAAAATTTTGGGTGTATTTCCAAAATTCGTATTAGAATGCGAGAATGAAAAAACTGCAACCAACTTCAGACTGCTGTCATTTCTAAGCCACTCGTCCGACAGCTGTTAAAATTATTCCAGTGACAGCTCAATATAATGTTTACAAGAGTACAAAAGCATTTCGGTGAGAATTCTCCCGAAAAAAAGTTATTCGTGATGGAATTCAAGCGTGATAGTGTGATTTCTTTATATTTGGCTGGAAAACCACCAACGAAGTGGCTATCGTTAGAGCACTCCAGCATTTAAATGTTAATATATCTTTTGTGTCGCTCGTTACCGTGATACTGGTAGCGTAGGCCGACATCAAGGAGTGGAGAAATAGTGCGAAATGTAAAGAAGCGACTTGATCGAAACCCGCGTTGCAGTGGCCGAAAAATGGCTCGTGAGCTGAACATATCGCAATAAACCTTTCTGTTGCAGTGTAAGTTCTTGTACTTTTTGGAATTTCAATGGCTATTCGGCAAATATTGAGAAATGAGCTCGGGGTAATCATTTCTTAATATTTGCCGAATAGCCATTGAAATTCCGAAAAGCACAAAAACTTACACTGCAACAGGAAGAAAACAGACTCAAAAGAGCTGAATAGTTGATTCGCTTGGCCAAAAGTGGTGAACTGCCGAATTTGGTTTTCTCCGATGAGAGAACATTCGTTGTCCAGCAGTTTGTAAACAAAAAAAATGATCGTGATTACTTGCCAAAGAGGTCAGCTGAAATTGTGCACCATGGTGATAATGTGGGCCGCCATAACAGCTGATGGTCGCCGAATATTAACGTGAAAATGTTCTGGAGGGTGTATTAAAGCCTTGGGCATGCAAAAATTTTGGCCGCAGACCTTGGACATTACAACAGGACTCAGCGCCATCGCTGAGTGCGACGTGCCACCCAAGTATGGTTTTAAACTGAGGTTCCTCGCTTAATTTCCAGCGCCCAATGACCACCTAAATCTCCGTAGGACTATTTTGTCTGGAATATTTTGGAAAGCAAGGTTGGCACTAAAAAATACAAAAGTGTCGATCACCTCAAACAAGCGCTTCGCCGGGAATGGGGCAAAATACGACAAATACCTGAATGGCAGCGTGTGACGGTTTCATTGGCCGTTTAAAGGCCATAATTCGTGCCAAAGGTGACCAATTCGATCAAATCTAAACTTATTCTAAAATTTAATGCTATTTTCCGAAATTTTTTGCTTTCATTCAATAAAATTTAAAAAAAAAAATTCAAAAGGTATGACGTTTAACTTTGTTGCAGAATTTTTTTTTTATCTAACCCTGTATATCATTGAAGACCAAATGCTAGTTTCATTATTTTTAAATAACTTCTGGGGAGAATATCCCAGACAAAAAAAGAAAACAAGGGAACTGATGAGGATTGGTGGCTCTTTCCGAAACCTAGGTATTCCCTGCCTTACCACCTGGTAAACATTACCATCCACTAATAAACAAACGTTGTTTTTATATAAAAACAACAATAAAGGGATTAAGCCTGACCATTTTGCAACAACAAAATCCTATGGTATTCCGAACAAACAAGCCAACACTGTTCTGGTAAATGCAATTGATATTTATTGAAAATTTCAAATTTTCACTTTGGATTTTTACTGCTCTGCTTAACATTCCGTTGGCCTATTTTGGATTCCACACGGGCCGTTAATAGCAATTTAAAAAAATACTCCTTGTTGGACATCATATTAAAGGCCGTTTCAAATTTCATATTTGGCACAAAGACCGGCATGATTTCTTCCTCCAAATAGAAATTTGTCAATGAATATTCAGTGTCCTAAGAAAAGAAAAAAAGAAAGCAATGAGACAATTTTGAAATAATTTTGCAATTTTTTGTTCGAAAAAAAAAAGAAAATACCTTCTTAAACGGACAATGCTGCGGCAATTGCGGTATTGCCTCTATAATACGTCGCACCACAGCCTCGGTAACGACAATCAATTTGTTGTATTTATTTTCCAAAATGTCACAAAAATTCAAGGTGACATTGTAGACCTTCCAGATTCGGCCATCACTTCGCGTCGAGGTTACCCAATGGACAACACGTATGTCATGAACATCTCTCCCGAAGAAGGCACTGCCATTGATGGCATTATGTTGCCGGTAGGGTATCAATTTCAAATCGATGGATTTCACATATTTTGGATTGATTTCATATTTCATTGTTTCGAAATCTATGGTAAAGGGACGCTGTGAGAAAAGGAGACGAAATTTAAATATTTTTTTTTTTTTTTTTGAAAATATATATGTACCCACCGCAGCCTGTGTTATTTTCAAAACCGAATTAAAAATGTATAAAGTTATTAATAATTTAATAATCCGCAAACCAATCATTTTGTCAATTCGTTTTAAAACCTATTAAATTATATATTCAATGCGTAAGTCAGATCATGTTGTTATTTAATGTAATGGGGGTGAGTCTGCTCAAAATTAATTGGCATTGGACAATTATACGGTATTTGCCTAGAGATTCGAGCAACCGATAGTAGAAAAAATTAGAAAATATATGCCGACATATATATCTACCCAGCAATAATTTGGTAATCATATGAGACACACTAAGCACCACTAGTAATGACAACTACGTACCCCATGCATCACCAGTAAGCCCAAAATAATGGCAACTACATACCATTTGCATTACCGGTAAGATTAAAAATAATGAGTTATTAAAAAAAAAAAACAAGTAAAAAAGCTGTAAGTTCGACCGGGCCGAACTTTGAATACCCTCAAATGCGAAACTTGAAAACAAATCTGTTTATAATGTAGCTAAAATCATCAAAATACCGAATATAGGGAGGTACAATGGGGGTTATAAAACGTGGACCTGCCCACACAATTTTCTATCATAGGCTGTAGTATCCATTACGAACTTCAAATGCGAAATTTGAAACAATTTCGGTAAATAATGTCGCTAAAATCATCTAAATACCGAATATCCGTGGGTACCGTTATATGGGGGCTATACGAAGACGTGGACCTGCACAGACGATTTTCTGTCTTAGGATGTAGTAGCCATTACGAACTTCAAATACCAAAATTGAAACAATTCCGGTAAATAATGTGGCTAGAATCATCAAAATACTGAATATCGGATGGGTACCGTTATATGGGGACTATACGAAGACGTGGACCTGCACAGACGATTTTCTGTCTTAGGATGTAGTAGCCATTACGAACTTCAAATACCAAAATTGAAACAATTCCGGTAAATAATGTGGCTAGAATCATCAAAATACTGAATATCGGATGGGTACCGTTATATGGGGACTATACGAAGACGTTGACCTGCACAGACAATTTTCTATCATAGGCTGTAGTATTTATTACGAAATTCAAATACCAAATTTGAAATAGTTCCGGTAAATAATGTGTCCAAAATTATCAAAATGCCGAATATCGGGAGGTACCCTTATATGGGGGCTATACGAAGACGTGGACCTGCACAGCCAACTTTCTGTCATAGGCTGTAGTATTCATTACGAAATTCAAATACCAAATTTGAAATAGTTCCGGTAAATAATGTGGCTAGAATCATCAAAATACCGAATATCGGGAGGTACAGTTGTATGGGGGCTATACGAAGACGTGGACCTGCACATACAATTTTCTGTCATAGGCTGTAGTATTCATTACGAAATTCAAATACCAAATTTGAAATAGTTCCGGTAAATAATGTGGCTAGAATCACCAAAATGCCGAATATCGGGAGGTACCCTTATATGGGGGCTATACGAAGACGTGGACCTGCACAGACAATTTTCTGTCATAGGCTGTAGTATCCATTACGAACTTCAATTACAAAATTTGAAACAATTCCGGTAAATAATGTCGCTAAAATCATCAAATTACCGAATATCCGGGGGGTACCGTTATATGGGGGCTATACGAAGATGTTGACCTGCACAGACAATTTTCTATCATAGGCTGTAGTATTTATTACGAAATTCAAATACCAAATTTGAAATAGTTCCGGTAAATAATGTGGCTAGAATCACCAAAATGCCGAATATCGGGAGGTACCCTTATATGGGGGCTATACGAAGACGTGGACCTGCACAGACAATTTTCTGTCATAGGCTGTAGTATTCATTACGAAATTCAAATACCAAATTTGAAATAGTTCCGGTAAATAATGTGGCTAGAATCACCAAAATGCCGAATATCGGGAGGTACCCTTATATGGGGGCTATACGAAGACGTAGACCGGCACAGAAAATTTTCTGTCATAGGCTGTAGAATCCATTACGAACTTCAAATGCGAAATTTGAAACAATTCCGGTAAATAATGTCGCTAAAATCATCAAAATACCGAATATCCGGGGGTACCGTTATATGGGGGCTATACGAAGACATGGACCTACATAACCAATTTTTTGTCTTAAGCCGTAGTATCTATTACGAACTTCAAATATCAAAATTGAAACAATTCTGGTAAATAATGTTGTTAAAATCATCTAAATACCGAATATCGGTGGGTACCGTCATATGGGGGCTATACGAAGACGTGGACCTCCACTGAAAATTTTCTGTCATAGGCTGTAGTATTTATTACGAAATTCAAATACCAAATTTGAAATAGTTCCTGTAAATAATGTGGCTAGAATCATCAAAATACCGAATATCGGGAGGTACAGTTGTATGGGGGCTATACGAAGACGTGGACCTGCACATACAATTTTCTGTCTTAGGATGTAGTAGCCATTACGAACTTCAAATACCAAAATTGAAACAAGTCCGGTAAATAATGTCGCTAAAATCATCTAAATACCGAATATCGGTGGGTACCGTTATATGGGGGCTATACGAAGACATGGACCTACATGGCCAATTTTTTGTCTTAAGCCGTAGTATCTATTACGAACTTTAAATATTAATTTTGAAACAATTCCGGTAAATAATGTCGTTAAAATCATCAAAATACCGAATATCCGGGGGTATCGTTATATGGGGGCTATACGAAGACGTGGACCTGCACAGACAATTTTTTGTCTTAAGCCGTAGTATCTATTATGAACCTTAAATATTAATTTTGAAACTATTCCGGTAAATAATGTCGCTAAAATCCCGTTATGCGGTATTAACGGGAGGTACCGTTATATGGGGGCTATACGAAGACGTGAACCTACATGGCCCATTTTCAATACCAAAAGTCCTGTAGACATAATACACATTTGAGTAAAATTTTATTAACCTACTTCATTTCGTTCGGAAGCTAGAGTGATTTCCACAGACGGACAGACGGACGGACATTGATAAATCGACATAGAGTGTTATGCTGATCAAAAATATATATACTTTATGGGGTCTAAAATATATATTTCGAGGTGTTACAAACGGAATGACAAACTTAATATACCCTCCATACTATGGTGGAGGGTATAACAAGTTTAAAAGTATCAGTCGGCTCAGCCAATGATCGATTATTTAAATATATTTTGACTTCTGTTATGATTATTCAAATTGTTGACCCTCTATGGAGGAAGTTTCGAAAGAATGGGCCAATATTGTCCATTTCGTGACGGACCCAAATAAATATGTTATAAATATTGAGACGTGCCAGATTTGGATTATATTGCGTACTTCCTTCACTTTGTATGAAATATGTGGTAATTTTTAGAAATTTTTTAAGGTACCTGTCGACCGAAGTATTCCATTTTCATACTTCATCTAATACCGATAAAAATATTGGTATGGGCAAAATTACAAGAAAATTGAAGATTTATCTCAAATTTTATGCGCAATCATATATTCCATATTCGTCTCAGGTTTCTGGTCGAGATAAATATTTAGATACAGCAGGTTGCAAAGAAACGCTGACTTGTTTTGCAAGTTATGACATATAAAATTATTGAAAATTATAACCCTTTGTGGGTGAGATCCAAGAAGGGGTTGGCAGATCTATATCATCTTCGCAAGAGACCTGGTGTTTACAAAAATGTTTGTATGTGTGAAATTTGAAGAGAATTGGATGCATATTTCACTTTCGTTGAGGGTTTTGTTTTTCAAACTATGGAACCCTATGTGGGGGGAGGTACCAGAAGCAATTGTCCGATCTCTACAACAGATCTTGTGCTAATGGAAATATTTAGATGTACCAAGTCTACAAAGAAACGAATGTTAATTTCGCGTATTATGAGCTTCAAGGTTGTTCAAAATTTTGACCCTTTGTGGGGAAGGTACCAGAAGAAGTGGACCTATATATTCCATCTGCACAGCAAATCTTTTTTTTTGGGAGGTACCAGAAGGAATGATCCGATCCATACCACCTTTATAACAGATACTGCGTTGATAGAAATAATCAGATGTGCCAAGTCTGCATGGAATCGGAAATTAATTTTGCGTTTTATGAGCTTCATGAATACTCAGAATTTTGACATTTGTGGGGGAAGTACCAAAAGGGGTTCACTGATATTTTCCATTTTCACACCAGACTTTGGGTTAATAAAAATATTGTTATGTGTGAAATATGAAGACAACCGGATGCTTATTTCGGATTTTATAATCGTTTTGGTTATTCAAAACGTTGAACCTTTGTGGGGGAGATACTTGACGGAGATACTTGACCGATATTATCCTTTTTCGCACCTGACCTAGAACTGATGCAAATATTAGGATTTGCAAAGTTGGAGCAAAATCGGATTATCGTTTCTCTTTCTATGCAGAAAATATGTTTTTTGAAAATGTCGATCTTTTGTGGGGGAGGTAACTCAACACCAGACCTTGGGTTAATAAGAATATTGGGATGTGTGAAATTTGAAGACAATCGGACTCTTCCTTCACATTTAATAAAAGTTGTAATTATTTAAAATTTTTACCCTTTGTGGGGGAGGTATTGATGGAGTGGGCCGATATTGTCCATTTTCGCACCTGACCTAGCACTGACGAAAATATTAGGATTTTGACCCTTTGTGGGGGAGATAGCAAAAAGCAAATTCGGATTATCGTTTCTTTTTCTGAGCAGAAAATATGTTTTTTGAAAATTTCGACGTTTTGTGGGGGAGGTACCAGTAGGAGTGGACCGATATTGCCAATCTTCGAACTCGCTCTAAGTTTGATAAAAATATTACGATATACCAAGTTTGGATCAAATCGGATACTCTCTTCGAGAGTTATCGTGCGCACCAACCACCCAGCCAGACAGACCGACGGACGGACGGCCATCGCTAGATCGACTCCGAATGTCCTGATCCTTTTAGGCAGAAAATATATTTTTTTTTGAAAATTTCGACCTATTGTGGGGGAGATACCAAAAGAAGTGGACCGATATTGCCCATCTCCGAACTCGAACTAAAATATAAAATTGGGATGGGAGTATATTCGATATTTTGAAAATCATTAATCTGGTTATATAAGTTTTTCAATAGTGGAGGTTATACAAGGTTCAGCTGTTGTCATTTTTATACCCTACGCCATATTATGTCTTTCAAATAGTTCAAATAGGATGGATTTTGATGTATTTTTAGTAGAAATTAAGGATATACCTCTCGTGAACTGAACATATTGCAATAATCCATTCGGCAAATATTGAAAAATGAGCTGTGGGTAAAGCGATTGAAATTCCAAAAAGTGCAAGAACTTACACCGCAACAGAGAGAAAATAGACTCAAAAGAGCTAAATAGTTGCATCGCTTGGCCGAAAGTGGTGAACTTCCGAATTTGTTTTTCTCCGATGAGAAAACAGTCGTTGTCCAGCATTTTCTAAACAAACAAAACGATCGATCGTATTTACTTGCCAAAGAGGTCAGCTGAAAATGTGCACCCTCGGGTGGCCACCAGAACTCAAGCATAGGCCATGGTGATGGTGTGGGCCGCCATAACAGCCGACGGTGCTCTCCACTCGTATTAATCGACCGTGGCACCAGAATAAATGCCGAATATTATACCGAAAATATTCTGGAGGGTCGCAGACCTTGGACATTCCAACAGGGCTCAGCACCGTCGCACTCAGCATGCGCCACTCAAGAATGGTTACAAAATGAGGTTTGTCGCTTCATTTACAGCGCACAATGGCGACCAAATTCTACGGATACCAATCCGTTGGACTATTGTGTCTAGAGTATTTAGGAAAGCAAGGTTGGCACTAAAAATACCAAAGTGTCGATCATCTCAAGCAAGCGCTTCGCCGGGTATGGACCAAAATACCGCAGAGCAACATTTGGGCACCGTGTGATGGTTTCATTGTCCGTTTGAAGGCCATAATTCGTGCCAAAGGTGACCAATTCGAACAAATCTAAACTTATTCTAAAATTTGATGCTATTTCCGACATTTTTTTGATTTCATTCAATAAAATTTAAAAAAAGTAAAAATTATGGCGTATGACTTTGTTGCAGTTTTTTATATCACCCTGTATCCACTAAATATGCAAAGTGGGGTAAGGTATCATAAAATCGGTTCCGCCCGACTCTTGGCATTTCTTTAATGGTTTTGTTAAAATTTTTGAAACGCTCAAATAAATATCTTTCGATCTCCAAAATATATATTCGAAGCTAAACACCGTGAAATTGCTCTACTCTGATTAATTTTAAATAGAGTCATCCACCAGAAATCCACTTTTAAATGGCAATTTCCCATAACGAGACCCTCGTTTGGAAATCACCTCATTAGCTCAGAGTTTTTTCCACTCGAGAATTCAAATGATTCGTCTTTGGAAATCGATTTTATTCGCCTTGTTTGTCATATCTAATATTTTCACTTTAATTTTTGGTGCGGTATGTAATTTTAGGAAATCCTGAAATTCCGCTAGCTTTAATTGAGTATTCCCCTACAGCGCCCCTTTACCATCGATTTCGATGTCCTTGATTACGATATCAATCCGGAATTTGTCAATTTCATTGATTTCAAATTAATTCCATACAAAGGCCACCAGGCCGTCAATGGCACCATTATTTTCCGCAGGGATGTGGTTGGTATGCGCCTCGTCCATTGGGTGACATCGACGAAATCGGATGGCCGTTTATGGAATATCTACAATATAACGGTAAATGGTTGTGACATTTTGGCCAATAAATACAGCAAACTAAATGTCATAATGGAGGCAGTGGTGCAGAGGATAAAACAAGCCATACCGGCCATACCAAAGAAATGTCCTCTCAAGAAGGTGAGCTTTTTTTTAATTTCAAAACATTGGTTTCGGAATTTAATTTTAATATTTTTGTAGGAAAAGAAATATTCTTTGCTAAACTTCTTTTTGGACGAAGAAATGATGCCGGTCTATGTGCCAAACATAAAAATTCAAACAGCCTTTAATGTGTTGAGTCGTATGGACTTTGTTTTGAAACTCCGCCTGACGGCCCATGTTGAGTCAAAAATTGGCAAAAGAAATGGCGAACAAACTAATAAAAAGTCAATATGAAAAAATTATATGTGAATGTTAGAATATAATAAACTAGCTGAACCCGGCGCTAATATAACCTCCAGAATATTTTCGCGATAATATTCGGCATTTATTCTGATACCACGGTCGATTAATACGAGCGGAGAGCGACTAACAGCTGTTATGGCGGCCCACACCATCAACATGGCCGGTGCTTGAGTTCTGATGGCCAACAGAAGGTGCAAATTTTCTGCTGACCTCTTTGGCAAGTAAACACGATCATTTTGTTTGTTTACAAACTGCTGGACAACGAATGTTTTCTCATCGGAGAAAACCAAATTCGGCCAAGCGAAGCAACCCTTTAGCTCTTTTGAGTCTATTTTCTTTCTCTGCTCTTGCGGTGTAAGTTCTTCACTTTTTGGAATTTTAATAGCTTTACCCCGAGCTCTTATTTTCAATATTTTCCGAATGGAAGCGATATGTTCAGCTCACGAGCCATTTTCGGCCACTGCAACGGGGGTTACGATCAAGTCGCTTCTTTACTTTTCGAACCATTTCAGCTGATGTTGCTGTTTTCTTCCGTCCACTTCCTTGACGTCGGGCTACGCTACCAGGCTACGAACGATGATAGGATACACAAAATATTTATTCAAATTTAAATGTTGGAGTGCTCTAACGATAGCCACTTGTGGTTTTCCCGCCAAATATAATGAAATCACACTATCACGCTTGAATTTCATCACGAATAACTTTTTTTCTGGAAAATTCTAACCAAAATGCTTTAAACAATAAAATGATCTGTCACTGGAATAATTTTAAGAGCTGTGGGACGAGTTTCTTAGAATTAACAGCAGTCTGAAGTTGGTTGCAGTTTTTTCATCTCACCTTGTAATTGACGAATTTTGGTCAGAAAAAAATTAAACATTGTTTTAAAAATCCAATCTCATTGCCGAGGAGTGCCACAAAAAAAAATCACTATTTTGAGTCAATTCAACATTGATTTTTTTCTATTTTTTTATTAAAGGTATCTTGACATTTTTTCCGATGTTTGCCCATGAAGGCATTGAAGAAACTTTTTAAAAGAATTCATATAAATACCAGCTTCATAAAAATTTTGTAGAAGTACTATGAAGTTTTGAGAAAAAATTCCACAAAAAATCTACAATTCATATATAACATGTAAATTATTTTCAAAACTCATTACTTTTAGTAAGGAACAACAATCTTTTTTGTTGCAACAAATATTCTTAAACAAATTCATGATTCAGGAACTCTTTAACAAATATTGTCAATTTATTCCAAATGAGCAGCATTTTCGATTTTAAGGTTCTGGAATTTTATCAGATATATTCTAAAAATACATATATAGCTCGAAAGTCCATAACATGTCTTTAAAAAGAGCACGCCTCTTGATTTCTGCCAGTAAGTCTTTGAAAAAATGTCTTAAATGTCTATTATATTTGAAAAAAGGAGGAAGAGATCTTAGATTTTTTTTAAATACACAATTTTGCCTCAGCGAAATAACAGTTGTAGACCCTAGGTTTCTTTGCATTAAATCCGTTTTGGAGTCGATCTAGCGATGTCCATCCGCCTGTCTGGCTGGCTGGTGTGCACGATAACCCTCGAAGGAAGTATCCGGTTTGGTCCTTACTTGGTACATGGTAATGTTATTATCAAACTTAGATCGAGTTCGGAAATGGGCAATTTAGGTCCATTCCTTCTGGTACATCCCCCACAAAAGTCGAAATTTCCAAAAAAAAAAAATAAAAAAAATTTGCTCCAACTTTGCGAATACTAATATTTGCATCAGCAACTCCCTTCAGACATCCAAACATTTTTGCTAACGCAAGATCTATCGTGAAGAAGTTTTACAAACGGAATGACGAATTTAATATACCCTTCTTTCTAAGGTGACAAAACAAAAAAATTCTAACTCACTTCATTTTTTTTATATTTAAAAAAAATATTTTGGGAAAATAAGACAAGTTCAACAAAAAGGTTTTTTTAATATTTCAAATAATAACATTTTTTTATTGATATCTTCACTAGTTTTCAAAATTTCCAGGATCTAAATAAAACAAATATTTATAAAAAAAAAAAAAAACATTTTATCACTTAAAAAAATTATGAAGTTTTTATTTCCACTTAATCTCGTCATTATCTTCTGTTTGTGCGTCCCAATAAAAAAATTGTCAAATTATTTGAAAAAAATATGAAAATTTGAATTATTATTATTATTTTTTATACCCTACACCACAAGGTGGTGGAGAAGGAAGGGAGATAGATCCATAGTTACTTTTGAGGATCTCCATAGAATCACTTTCTGAGTTGATTTATGCATGTCAGTCCTTCTGTCCGTCCGTCTGTCCATGTATTCTTGTGAACAAAATGTAGGTCGCATTTATTATTCGATTGAGATGAAATTTTGCAAAATCATTTGTTTGGCCCAAGGACGAACCCTATTGAAATTGGAGATAATCGGTAAAAATTTAGATATAGCTCCCATATATATTTTCGTCCGATTTGCCTTTTATTGTGCACCAAACGTGTAATTTTATCCCAAATATTATGGAATTTTGCACATACAACCAAATTAGACCTGAAAATAAGTATGCCAAATTTGATCGAAATCGGTTCAGATATAGCAATAGCTCCAATATATATTGTTCATCCGATTTGTTGTTTTTGTCCTCCGCAGCCGTAATATGCACACTGTAACAACAATATATGGGGAAATATATCAAATACAGCTCAGAAATACATTTGCCAAATTTTATCGAGATCGGTTCAGATTTGGATATAGCTCCCATATATAACTTCGTCCGATTTACCTTGGATTGTGCACCAAACGTCTAATATTTTGGTATTATATTTGGTGAAGATTGGTTCAGATATAGCTATAGCTCCCATATATACTGTTCATCCGATTTGTCATATTTGTTATCCACAGCCGTAATATGCACTCCGTAACAACGATATTCAGGGAAATATAACAAATACAGCTCAGAAATATCTTTGCCAAATTTTATCGACATCGGTTCCGATTTGGATATAGCTCCCATATATATTTGTATCTGATTTCAAATTAATTGTGCACCAAATGGGCAATACAGCTCCGAATTTAAAAGATACAAATGCTTCGGCATATTTAGTCCTTTGAACTTTAAATTACAATTATAATCATGGCGTGTATGATTGAATTCTCCCATAAAAACTTTTAATTGTTATGCGGAGCCCTTCTAAATTAGCAAAGTGGTGTAGGGTATCATAAAGTCGGCCCGGCCGATTTTAAGACTTTCTTTACTGTTTTTTTTATATTTTTAAAAAAAATATTTTGGGAAAATAAAACTGGTGTTCCAAGTTTCACAAAATAATTTTTTTTTAATGTTTCAAATAATAAATTTTTTTATTGATATCTTTAACAGTTTTCAAAATTTCCAGAATCAAAATAAAACAAATATTTATAATAAAAATATTTTATTGGCTTAAAAAATTATAAACTTTTTATTTCAGTTTAATTTTTGGACAACTCCTTAATCTCGTCATTATCTACTGTAGGTGCGTCCCAGTTAAAAAAATTTTCAAATTATTTGAAAAATATTTGGAAACAAAAAAATGACAATTTGAATTATTATGTTTTGAAAAATTCCTGAATTATCAAACATTAATTTTCAAAATAGTCTAAAGTGGAATGGAAATATCCTAAAAACAATGAAAAACAAGTAAGCAAAGGCTATAGTCGTGCGGGGCCGACCATGTGATACCCTACAACACTACAATATGTTCGAACTCCCCTTATATATCGAAATCCATTTTGGAAGATGTCGTTTTTGAAATAATGTCAAAGAGTCCCGCCCAGAGGTCAATTTTAGTTTTTTGATCCGGACAATTTGACCAATATTTACGCACTCCGTAGTGTTGTTAAGTAATCAAAACAATTTCACACGAAAGTTGTGGGCTATTTTACAATCATCCCAAATGCTAGACTTCTTCGCTGACTTTAACTCTCTTCTGATGCGAAATTCCGTGTCGATTAGTTGGCCTACAGAGCGACTACAAAATTAGAAAAAAATAAATTTTTTAGTCCATTTGCGCCTCTAAATGTACACCCTACCCCCATGCAAAATTTCGTGAAGATCGGACGATAATTGCGATATGTATATAATACCCTCAAAACGTAGTGTTGGGAGGAGTAAAAATTTAGAAAATTTACAATTCAAAATTGTAAGTCAAATTGAAAAATCGCATGCGATAAAAAAATATGACAAAAATTGAAAAAAATCTACAAAAGATATTCACTTTTTTATTGGTATATTTTCCGCGATTTTCTTAGATTTTATCCTTTTCTGGCTATAGACCATTCCGAATTGATGGGAATTGTGAAAATCGTCCCAGCAGTTCTAGATTTATAAGCAGAATATATAAGATCAATTTTTTTTACATATATATTGTACCTATTTTGCTATATATCCGATTTCTTGGCTATTAGCATCACCGTAATGGTCAGAAGTGATCTTTTAATGTATTTGTGATTTGGCTGAGGTTGAAAATATTCGCGGTTTAGTGGAAATTTTCCTATTTTCTTACATAAAAGTTAGGGTATATTTTACCCGCTAATTATTGTCCGATGGCCTCCCAAATTGGTAGGTCCAAAACTCTAACTTCATGTAAATTTTCGCGTCGATTGGTTCATAATTGTGGCCTATAGAGCAACTGCAAAATCAGGACAATTTTCTGTTTTTGGTCCATGTTAACCTTTAAATATTATGCGATCATCTCCAAAAAAAACCAGTAAGGAAAGCTCAAAAGTCGGGCGGGGCCGACTATATGATACCCTACACCACTATGCATATTTAGTAGAGCTCTCGTAAAAAGGTTTATACAGGGCATTTCAGAGCTCTATGAGATATTTGGTACAAAATCAAAATCTATCTAATTCTATCGTGCATTTTACGAACTATAGCTATATCTGAACCGATTTTCACCAAGTTTGATGTATTTGATTCTAGGCTGAATTCGGTCAGATTTGCCAAAACCCA